GGCGGCGCGGGCGCGGCCCGCCTGCCCAGCCCCGACGACCTGGCCGCCGCGGCCCTGGCGGCAGCGACGGGGCGCTTCGGCGCCGCGGGCGGCGGCGGCAAGCGGGGCGCCGCGCTGGCGCCGCTCGGGGCGGTGGCGGGGACAGCAGGGTTTGGGGCCGAGGGCGAGGAGGGCGCCGCGCTGGCGGAAGTTGAAGAGCTGGTGGCTGGTGCGGCCGGGGCTGCAATGCTGGGGGTGGTGGCGATGGAGGCGGCCGAAGCCCTGGAGGGGGTTGAGGGGCTTGACGAGGGTTTGCGGAAGAAATAAGCTGCTGTGGGGGTTTTGGAGTGATGAAGTCCGGCTGTTTGGGACTGAGATCTTTTGAGGGGAGGGGTGCTTGTTGAGCATTGCAGGTTGTGGGATGCATGTCTGAATCGAGTTGGCTCCTAATGATGTATGAATTGAAGGGTTGTTTAATTTACAGCTCACCTTGTCAATGCGCTTGAGGAGTCGCCAACTGGCAGCGCCAATGCGGTGCACCTGGAGTCGCCCGACCCACGACGCAGTCGAAACGCCCAACACGGTCAGCGCCAAATCACGGTAAGCCTGCAGCAAACCGCGACGTTCCCCCGGGAAGATCTCTTTAGCAGTTGAGCACACACATGTGTTATTACTACTGTAAGAACCAAATGTGATTGGGAGCGGGGCTAAGTCCCACACAGTTGCGGCAGCAGGGAGCATCTGGTCACTTCTTCCAGCTGCACGCAGGGCTACCTGTCCAGGGGTGTGATCTCAGCCAACACAGCGTGCGGTGCGCTCGCATTACTTAAAGGGTGACTGGGCTCGCCCTGCATTGGATCAGGCGAGCAGCCCATGCTTACAACCCGTCCACCTGCCACGCTGTGCCCCCATCCAACACGCCAACTCCCTGGTAGCTTAGATTGGCTGCCATGGCCCCTCCCTGACAGCAGCCGCAGTGCGGGGAGACGACACCCCACAAGATGAGTGCACCACTGCCTGGTCTGCACGTTCACCGCGACTCAGCAAGTTGAATGAGAGGTCCCATTCGATGGTGTTTACACAAATTGTGCTCTGCAGTTCATGTTGAATGTATCCTGCCCTCAGACTGGGCCAGCGAATGCTGCAGTGCTGCCAACCCTTCTGTCAAATGTGGTTGAAAGGCTCACACACCAAGGCGCTCTGTGATGTTGCTGTGGTGGCAGCAACACTACTGCGATTGCCACAAGCGCTTTGCTGCATACAGCGCACATCCGCGGCCTCCACAGGTTCTCGACACATAGATGCAGCCTGTAAAAGCAGTGTCAGCCGAGGCATCCCCGCTATCCCGGCATCATACATAATTGGTTGGGCGCATCGCTTGCGTGCGTCCCGCAGTCATGTGCAAACCCAGCAGACAGCCAGTGCTCATGTGCCAAAGGGCCGGGGAGGTGGGGTGCGGGAGCGGAGCCAGCCAGGGAGGGGGGGTGCGAGAGCGGAGCCAGCGCTCCATAGGAACTTGGTAACTGCCTGCAGTGTGCATGTTCAAATGAAGGCAAATGTAGTTGTGTAGGAAGGTGCCAATCAGGGGCGCCAGGGCCTACACCAAACTAAAACAGTGTTTGTTTTGCTTTCGCATGCGCGTTAGTCTGAAGATGTGTGGGGTGGGCGGCAGGGCGCGTGTGGCGTTGGCAAGCTCGTTCGTCGCCGGGCAGACCGTGTGTGGCAAAAACTGTTATGATGGGGGTGTGAAATCCGTATCAATTCACGCTCTGCCGCAAGCCAGGGCCGCCAAGCAGGAGCCGCAGCTGCATGAGGCGGCGCGGCAGCCCCAGTTCACTACCGGCGCCGCCCGTCACCAGCGCCTCCTTGTCGGCAGCCTTTGCTCCCCGGATGAGCGACTTGGCGGCGGCGGCGGGATAGGTTGCTGCGGCGGCGGAACCATTGTCTTTCAGGAGGCTGAGGGCGTTGATGGCCAGGCCCAGGGCCCAGGAGGTGGAGACCTCCATGCCGTCGTAGAGCATGCGGCGCACGAGCGTGATGCGCCGCTCATCGGGCAGCTTCAGCCCCTTGGCAAGCACCGTGTACAGGAAGCTCATGTCCGCACACAGCCCTGCAGTACAATGAAATGGGACGGGAGAAAGCAAGGTGGGACACTTGCGGGGCGATGCAAACGTGGATGGATTGACCCAAGCGGCGGGGTTGTCGCTTGTCGGCCTGCAGCACTCTCGCGCGAAGCACTTGGGACCCCTGCCGACCGGTGCTTCCAGTGTGGCACCCTCGCGGCTTGAAATGCCACGCGCACACACAGCTCAGGCGGGCACGCCGCCTCCCTCCAACACGGTCACGCAACGCGACGCGATCGTTGAGGGGGACGCGCGCAAGGGTCTCACAGGGTGCCAGGTCGTCAGCCACGCCGTACTTCTTCAGCAGCTGCGCTGGGGTCAGCGCGCACACGGCCTCGGCGTATGTTTTGAAGACCTGAAGAGGCCGGTTTGAGCACATGCAGAACGTGTGTGTGCGTGCGTGTGTGTGTGCGCGTGCGCGTGCGTGTGCGCGTGTGCGTGTTGTTGTGTGAAGAGACAGAGCGCGTGTGTGTGGCTGCAGTGTGTACATGTGTGTGTATAAGTTTGTGTATGTGTGTGTGTGTGTGTGGCGGGGTGCTTGCGCATGCGCAGGGGGTGCGCATGTATGAGGGGCAAGTGTTGGCGCTGTGTGCAGATGGCAGCACAGGCACGCGGGCCACCAAACACGCAGGCATGTAAGGCGTAAGCAACCCGTTTGCTGGAGGCCCGTTTGCTCGGCTATGCGGAGTGCAGATTGGACCGCCTTGCCTGCAACACGTGGAAGCTGCAGTGCGCCCATGTGTGCCGTGAGCCTAAGCTGAACTGGGGGCTGGCCTCACCCCTGGTGTGGTGGCCCAGTCAATGGCGTGGGCGTCCTTGATGATCCCCACGTCCACAGCGCGGTCCCTGGGAGATGGGGGGGGGGGGCAGAGGAGGCGGGAGAGGGTTGGCGCGGCCTGGTAAACAGACACACCGTTGCATTGTGGTTTGTACGTGGTCAGGTGGAGGGCAGAGGCGTGCATACACACATCCACAACTGCATCGTTGTCACCCATCTGGTTCCAAGCGTTATGCGTGTTGCATGTAAACATGCATGTGCATGTGCGTCCACGCCCACACATGCATGCAAGCGCACACACACGCGCTCACACACACGTATACGTATGTACACTCACTCATCCACCCACCTGCCACCCCCCCCCCACACACACACACACGGCAATGGTTTTGCGCACCAGAAGAAGCTGCTGACGTAGTAAACCATCTGCATCGACGCCCGCTTGGCGCGCCAGACGCCGTTGAAAGAGCACGCCTGCGCGCACAGCAGAGTGTGCAAACCTTTGAGCACCAGGAAACGGCTCCTCCCACGCAAAGCTACTGCCCGCCTGGGTGACTCCCTTTGAGAATCCACAAACCAACGCCCCTCCACCCCTCCACCCCTGCAGCCGCCCCCGCACCTCCTTGTAATTGCACTTGCTGGTGTTCATGGCGCGCATGGCGGCCGCCTCGCAGCGGTCGAAGCTGGCCAGGTCCACCACCTCCTCCAGGGGGTACGCGCGCCCGTTGTAGGTGTAGTTGAGGCGCACGCCCTTAGCGAAGCAGCCGTGGGTGTGGTCGGTGGCGTTGCGGTCCGCAACGATGAGCGCCGCGCGGGCCGCCATGAGACCAAAACCAAGGTAGCTGCGTTGTTTTGGGGGAGAAGGGGGGGTGCAGGGTGTTTGGGAGCGTGGCGGGGGACAGGCATAGGTGAGAGACTCGCTATCTAGTATAGGGTGTTGTGTTGCTGCGCGCCACTCCGCCCCAGCAGGAGACACATGTGCAGGCTGGGCAACAAGCACAGCACACAGTCAGCCCCCACCTGTGCACATAAATGTCAAATGTCTGGTCCTGCACCAGCACTGACGTGGTGGACCCCGCTGGCGCAGCGCGCGCCTGAGCCGGCGGCAGCGCAAATGCTTCCTGCATGGAGCCGCCTCCCAAGTCAATCGTCGCCGCCGTATCGGCCAGTGTCTTGTTGGGGCCAAATTTGCCCAGCAGAAAGTTGACTGCGATCCATGCAAATGCTCCTTCTTGGGTGCCTGGCAAGGTTGAGTACCACAGGGGGGAGGCAGGGGGCTAAGCCGCGGCGTGCACTTGTGGGCCATAGTGCCACCAGAGCGATGCGGGCACAAAGACAAGTTTTGCAGCCGCCGGCAGCCGGACGCTGGGCGACCCAGGCCTGTTGCTGGGGCTAGTAAGGTACGCATCGCAGGCACCGCTCTGCCCCTGCTCTGCACCGCTTGTCACCATTGAGGATCTTCACTGCGTGGGGCCCCATGTTGAAGCCGAACGTCCTCAGGTATGTGCCGACTTCCTGTGATTGACGAATGCAAGAAGCTTACGAAGTCCATACATATGCAAGATGTGCTGTGTGTGGAAGTGCGTGCATTTGCGCAAGTGAGTGTGCGTTTGTGTGAGTGTGTGTGTGGGTGCGTGCGTGCGTGCGTGTGTGTGTGTGTGTGTGTGTGTGTGTGTGTGTGTGTGTGCGCGCGCGCGCGCGTGCGCGCATGCCGTCACAGCAGCATACACGGGTCTTGCTCCTGTGCCTCAGCAGTTGCTGACCCGCCTCCGCCCGTCCTCCATCCACAGCGCCGCACCCTGAGAACCGCGTCCGCCTTCGCCGCCGGCAGCAGCCTCAGCCCCGCCGTCGCGCGCAGCGTCAGGGCCGTCGCGGGCCGCAGATCCGGCGGCACCGCCTTGACCGCGGCCCCCATCAGCGGCTTCAGGCTCAGCGCGGCCGCCCTGGGGTCGCCGCTGAAGGAGCTCAGCCCCGGGTGCGTGGGGAGGAACAGCTCGCCCAGCAGCCTGAGGGAGCGCGTCCTGCGGTCCTGCTTGAAGCGGAACACATGGACGCGGCTGCCCGTGCTTCCTGCATCGATCACTACGCTGTACACGACGCGGCCGGGCAGGCCGGCACCGCTGTTGTTGCTGGTGCTCTGACGTGCGCCGGGCGGCAGGGACGCGGCGGTAGCGCCTTTGGCCCGCGTGTTGACGGTGCGGGCCGGGAGAACTGCAAGCGCCAGGAACAGCAGTGTGGCCTGTTTGCGCAGCAGGGGGTGGAGTGGAGGGGGGGAGGGCGTATGGGTGCCTGAGAGCACGTCTGTGCCGCGTGCAGTGTCGGGCTTGAAGAAAACGCAGTGACACCTCCCCCTGACACAGCGGAATGTCACGCCCTATACAGTACATAACCAGGTTCCTGAAAGTGTTTTTGGCATACTGATCACAGCAAAGAGCCGCTGCACAAGCAGCAAGAGCATGCATGGCACTCAGTGGCACGACACTGACAGGCCAGGTGCCGCATCGCATCGAAGCGCAGCAAGCCCATGCAGCGACAGGCGCGCCAGGAGCGGCAGCGTGCCGCTGCGATTAATAGAAGCATATGCTAGTCCCCATGCGCACTGTGAGCGCGTGCGTTGCTCTCTCCCGCCCGGTCGCCATGTTCCTACTGCCAGAACCGGTCGTGACGGCTGTTCCAGGAGCTTGAAATGTGAATTCTTGTGTTGATAGAAACGATGTCACCCGGCCAACAGATCTGATGACAGCAGTGACTTCGCCTAGCGCTTCTCACACGGTGAGCTGGCCAAGCAACTTGTCAATTCAAAACGCTCCAAAGTTTGCTTCGTCTTTTATTGGGCCTGCCTGTGGTTCGTCCAACCCCCTGCGCTTGGGCGATGGTGCAGGGTGGCTGGCCACCAGGTCAGCAGCTGCAAGCCAACCTGGTCAACCTGCAGTAAGGCGACAGGGCGCCGGTCGCTCAAGGCAAACACAGTACGATTTTGGCAAGATACACCGCAAAATGTAAGCGCACCTGGCGAGGGGACTGGCGGCATAGCTTTTGCAGCTGCTGCACTTTGATCTGGCCATGTTTCATGCGGGTCCCAGATCAACACTGTTTGAGCACTCCAATGTGACAGGCGGCACTTTTTTGCCCTTACGATGGCATGTGACAGCGGAACACCGCTTGACACACAGCCTACGACGGATCCGCCACCGCAGTGTACCACTAGCTCGCGCCTACTGCATGCACTCGCGCTGCCCAAGCAGCAAGTTGCCCGAGCGCCGTGCTCGTCGTGCCTCCTACTCCGCCGGTTTCCAAAGCTGCTCCCCTTCTTGTCGCCCCGTGTGCTGCCACGAGCGAGGCCTGCAGCCGCGCGAGGCTGCATTCTGCCGGTTTGCAGCCCTGAGCCGCCGCTGCTCTGCAGCAGGCCGCTGCCGGCGACACCGCTCCAACAGGCTCCCGGTCACCACCTGCGTCCCCCCCGCGCTCCGCCACAAGCCCTAGCGCCAGAAGGCTGTCGCTGTGCCCCTGCTGCGCCGCCGCTGCCCACCACTCCAGTGCTGCTGCCGCCGCCGCGTCTCTGTCACCGCACCCGCAGCCCCCAGTCGTGTGGTCGCCGCCAGTTTGCCCGCCGCGACTGGCCTCCCACCAGCACTCGCACCCAAGCCAATGCTGAGCCTCTGCCGACCCTGCACGTGCGGCGCGCTCATACAGGGCCCTCGCCGCGCCGCGCGCCGCAACTGCCGCTGCAGATGGCCGGGGCCGCTGCGTCGTCTGAGCCCACGCAGCCCGAGCAGCAGCGCCAGCAGCCCTAAACAGCGGCGCCTGCCACCATGTCCCTGACCCACATCTGCGGCTTGTGCCGGCCGCCTGAAACCTGCTGCCAGCAGCCGCAACGCATGCCGCTATCC